TAACACATTCGGGGGCGCGTTATTAGTGATAAGGGTGCGCGATGGCTCCAATGATTACTAAAACCTTTTCGGATTCGGCGCTGACCTTGAAATGGCACCATTAGGTGATCATTTAGTGCTCACCTGAAAGACGTCAAGCTTATTTTGGTCCTTTTTGATAGCGGCCTCCATGGCAAAGTGGAAAGCGGCCATGCTCTTGGCTTCACGTCGCATCGACTTCAGCATGGGTAGAAGTCTGAAAAATTGCATATGGAGGATAGATCAATAATTCAAGTCGACTTTCAGTTTCTGATAAATCTATAGTAAGCCGCTACAAACCAGCGGTCCATATAATTTCGAAGGCATCTTGGGTAGGTGTCTAGATACATTTGGGAATTTGGGTAACTTACTTGGGAACTTGCTGGGAGGCGTCAACTAAACCACTGCTCAAGCAAGAACTCATGCGGTTCATTTACGGCTAACAAATTTACTTTGAATTTTGACCCAGACCGTACTTCTATCGTACCCTACTTCTGATCCGTTCCGAAGTACGGTCTGGGCTGCAACTGCAAGTCTAATTTTTAGCCAAGAATTAATCATATGAGATTTCATTTGAGCATTGCCCTTGCTGAGGTCATCCTATAAATATCAATAAGAACTTCATGTTACTAGGATTCAAACAAACACTGCTTTGGGAACAAAGGTTTGACCATCAAAAAATAATAGCCTCTGACTTCCAAACCAAAGCTACACAACAGTCATTACTCATTACTTAAGTCTGAGAGGGTTCATTGTACTTTTGTACCGTGATTTTGATTAGGGTAAAAAACCCCGCGGTGAAACATCTCTAATAATTCTTGAAACGATTTCACAACATTACAACATAAGTCTACGACAATGTAGTCTGTTTCAAGGGTTAAAGTGTATTCCACTTCAAAATTTCTATGAGAGTATGGAATCCTACACAGAACTAAAATATTCTACTTCAAAGTTCCTTGTATGTTGGCATTCTAACTACGGTAACTACTAACTAAAGTGCATTATGACTTTCATTATCCTAACTATGTGCCATTGCACACATTGCGCTTCTCGTCCTTTTAGAAAAGCTCCTCCAAGAGTATGCTTTGCAGCATCTTTTCCCTTATTTTTTGTTCTTTCCAGGCATGATAAGGCTAGTCAGTCTTAATTATATGGTCAAAGAAGTTCAGGGTAGTACGCGCAATGTGTGCACTGTGTGTGTTAGCACAGAATAATGTGAAATGGCCAAACGGTAGTCGCTTGGGTAAAAGATTATAATGAAAGGTGAAGTTCCGAGCAGACATTTGTAACAAATTATGCACCTCCGAACACAACTACTCGTGCTAGCTGTCCGCGCAATTGGAGTTCCTCTATTTTAGTCGGAGTATAAACTATAGGGATAAAAGAATTGAACAGCAAGCACAATCGCTTACCGACGTTCCCGCTCTCCCTTCGGTTTTGGAATACGAGAATTAGCTATCATTTCTATTTTAGCTTTCAGTAGCCCTTGTGTCACTTCAGAACAAGACTGGAGGCGCTGCCACATTTGGGCAGACCATGACAGCATTTTCGTGGATAACATTCAGTGAGGTTGTCGGGAGGTAGTGTTAGCAACAGATCTGACTCCTCATCTTTGCTCATCTTTATAGAAAATTTGAAAGTAGAAAAAATTTCACTGAGTCACAAATGGATTCGCCATTACTATGTGTGAATAGTGCTGCTCTGCCGATAAAGCAGAACTTTGACGTAAAAGAAATGTCATGTTCAGATCCGTGATTTGCATCGATTCGGCCCTTAAAATTCACGAAAAAGCTCATTGTATCTGATGATAATGTCTGCACATCCGTGTTGAACCGAGTAATACGGAGACTCTATAAACATTTTTT